AGTGGAATCAGCAACATGTGGTTCCGGCGGGAAAACTTGGGACACACCAACAGCGGCTGAAAAAACAGAAGGCTCGATACTCGAAAGGAGAGAGGCGGAAACCGAAGCTTCTGCTGTGGGTGCAAGTAATTTGAGGACAGCACCCACGGGGTTAGCGTCAGTAGAGGCCGTGGAGGCGAACTCCTCCCGTCGGTGTTGAGCGCGAAGCTCTGACAAACGGGTGGCTTTTACGATGTGACACTCAACGGTTGGGAGATGTGCCAGAACTCGAGGAGGTGGCACGGGCAACGAAAGGCCTCAAGGACTGGAAGGCACCCGGCCATGACTCCCTCCCTGCCGAGTTGCTCAAGATCGATGACGAAGAACCCTTCGTCCTGGGACACCTCCATACCATCCTCGTCAAGGTGCAGAACGGAGGAGATATTCCGCGAGAGTGGAAGGATGCAACCATCAAGGTGCTGAACAAGAAGGGTGAACGGTCCAACTGTAACAACTACAGGGGGATTGCGCTACTATCTCACGTAGGCAAGGTCCCCATCAAGATCATCACCAACCGTCTAAGCGCCTTCTGCGAAGCCAACAACATCCTCCCGGAGGAACAGTGCGGATTTCGACCCGGGCGATCCACCGTCGACATGATGTTCGTCGTGCGCCGCCTCCAGGAGCTGGGGCGGAGAAAGAAAATACCGCTCTACTTGTGCTTCGTCGACTTGAACAAGGCGTATGATTCGGTGGACCAAGAGATGCTATGGAAGGTGCTGGCCAGGGCCGGGATTCCCGCGAAGCTGATCGAAGTCATCCGCCAATTCCACGATGGAATGCGGGCCCGGGTGCGCATGGACGACGGAGAACTATCGGACTGGTTCTGCGTGACACGGGGCGTGCGACAAGGATGTGTGCTATCCCCACTGACTGCTGTTCAACATCTTCTTCGCCGAGGTCCTCGAGGTCGTTGTCATCCGATCCAGCGAGGATGATGTTGTTCTGCGGAGCCTGGTGTGCTTGGAGGAGGGGAAGACGGAAGCGGGGGGGGGCGAGGAGACACCCCTTGACCGAGTACGGAGGGCAGTATGGGGGATGCTGTATGCCGATGATGCCGGCGTCGTATCGAGGTCTGCAGAAGGACTGGCGAGAATGATGACCATCATCGTTGAGGTGTTCGGGGAGTTCGGGCTAACGGTGTCGGAGAAGAAGACGGAGACGCTCCTGATGCGCGCAAAGGACAAGCCGACTACAGCA